GGAGAACCCAAAATGGACTGTAAATTGTAATAAATGTACCTAACCATATTGCAGTTAGTAACATAACCACACTGAAGGTGGTGGAAAGAAAAGAACTAACCTAAGTCACTTTGGAATCAGTATTTTGAGTGTACACTGTAAGGCCAAAGACAAAAAGAACTATATACAAATATTATGTTCTGGTTAGTAAATTTGTTTTTCACAAGGTATGGATTAGCAAGTCAAACTATTTGATGTGTTTTCTAGGACTGCGGAAATGTTGGTAAATATATTGTGAATAGGGTCAGATTTCTCACTGTGGGAGAAAGGAGTTACATATAAGGAAAAGGGAAAAGAGAGGTGAACCCTGTGGTGTTGGGCTGGAGGCGGGATCAGGATAATTCATGGTATGTCTCTCCATCAGTCTGTCAAGATGAGTAGACACAGATACGTGTGTATGTGTGTATACATACACATATTTCCTACTCTACTACCGAGCGGGCCCAGAATGTCACCCAAGTAGAATGAGCACACCTCATGCCCAAAGTTTGGATTCTAAAAACTGTTCTCCAGTAAAAGGAGCCAGAATTGTTTTCTTTTGAGAAATAGCTGATTACAGAGCTGGGACAGAGAAAATACAAGATGAGGGGACTCTTTTAAAAATACAGGTTCAAAAAAAAACAAAAAAACAAAACCAGGTTCTAATTCATTAGAGCTGGGGCACTGTTTGAGAGTCTGCATTTCCATTTTATTTATTTATTAGAAATTGGGGACCCAATTCAAGGGTCCCGCTATTCTTTTTTTAAAATTAATTAATTTATTTATTTATTGGCCGTGTTGGCTCTTTGTTGCTGCGCGCAGTCTTTCTCTAGTTGTGGCGAGCGGGGGCTACTCTTCGTTGTGGTGCGCGGGCTTCTCATTGTGGTGGCTTTTCTTGTTGCGGAGCACGGGCTCTAGGCACGCAGGCTTCAGTAGCTGTGGCATGTGGGCTCAGTAGTTGTGGCTTGCGGGCTCTAGAGCACAGGCTCAGTAGTTGTGGCGCACGGGCTTAGTTGCTCCGTGGCATGTGGGATCTTCCCGGACAAGGGCTCGAACCCGTGTCTCCTGCATTGGCAGGCGGATTCTTAACCACTGTGCCACCAGGGAAGCCCTCCATTTTATTTTATTTTTATTTTTTAATTTATTTTTGGCTGTATTGGGACTTCGTTGCTGCGCGTGGGCTTTCTCTAGTTGCAGTGAGTGGGGGCTCCTCTTCATTGCAGTGCGTGGGCTTCTCATTGTGGTGGCTTCTCTTGCTGAGGAGCACGGACTCTGGGCGCGTGGGCTTCAGTAGTTGTGGCATGTGGGCTCAGTAGTTGTGGCTCACTGGCTTAGTTGCTCCATGGCATGTGGGATCTTTCTGGACCAGGGCTCGAACCTGTGTCCCCTGCATTGGCAGGCGGATTCTTAACCACTGTGCCACCAGGGAAGCCCTTATTTTATTTTAGTCTATTCTATTTGAAGTATAGTTGTTTTGAAGTATAGTTGATTTACAATGTTTTATGGGAGTGCATTTCTAACAGGCTCCTGGGTGATACTGATGCTGCTGGTCCAGGGAGCACACTTCGATTAGTAGACAACTACTTACTGTAGATTATTACACAAGAGACTCAAACACTGGATGTGGTGGAAGAAGTGACTTCCATTCTAAGAGTTTTGGTGAGGTCATTTGAACCTCCGGGATGCGTTAATTTAGCTGGCAGTGTAGTCGAGTGTAGAGTGGAAGGAGCACTGGCTTGGGAGTCAGGGTGAATTTCATATGGTTTACAGTCTGGGTGGCCTTGAACAATTTACTTCACCTTTTTTGAGCCTCAGTTTCCAGTTAGCAAAATAGATACAGTAAAATATCCCTGGCAGATTAGCATTAGAGAAAATGTGTTTAAGGACCTAGCATAGCTCTTGACACAGCGTAGGTGTTCAGAATAGTGGTGACAATTATTATGCTGTAGAATCCTCTTTACTGGAAGACTAGAGCTGTGATTAATGTGCATGAACATTACTGTTTGGAGCCTCAAAGTAGTTTTGCATCAGAGACAACTTACTTTTATTCATTGACCAAAAGAAGGCTATGGTTACTTAAGTAAAATCGTCTTGGCCTGATGATGAAAAATACATGTTCTTGTCTGCCCTTGCATAATCAACTTTTACAATCATTTTAAGTCTTGGCCTGATGAAATGTGACAAATGATTCACTGATTCAAACAGATATTTGTTGAGCACCTGTTACTCTGAGTCCAACAATCTTGAACTCTTACAACTTCCTGCATAGAGCGTAGTTCAGACCTGAGCTCCTTTTGAGCTCACTGTCCCCTCTGCCTCCTCTCCTCCTTCAGGAACCCCTCCACCGCCGAGCATGGGCTTCAGGTTGGGCTAATACTCTCTTAGCACCTTGTACACCCCTGTCATAGTGCTTGTCTCTACCAGCCTGCAAGCTTCTCTTCCTCTCCCTCTCTTCTCGTATTTTTCCTGCAAACTTCTCGAAGGCATAACGCTCTTTGTAGCCCCATAGCAGAACAGTGCCTGCACTCAACTTGTTGAACGGATTGCTTGACACAGGACTTCCTCAAGGAGATCGGAGTCTGAGGTGTGTGGGAGGGTCAGGGAAGGCTTCCTAGAAAAGGTGATGCTTGAGCTGAGATTTAAGAGGAGATGGCAAGCAGGGGGAGGTAGCGTGGCTGGATAACATGGTGCATTTGGGGCACTGCACATGGTTTGGATGAACTGAAACATGGGGGGCAAAAGTGGGGAAAGGGAGTGAGTGAAGCTGGAGAAGAGGTAAGGGCCAGCATATGACAGACTTAAATGCAGCTAAGGAGATTGGGTTTTATCTTGAGGATAATGAGAAGCCAGTGAAGGATTTTAAGCAGGAATGTGTGGAGGTGGGTTGGGGGTGAGATTTGATACAGAGAGTTGTACATAAGCCTGGTAATCTGACCCAGCTGTTACCCATAATGCCTTTCTGGCCCGGAGCATAGTGGTTTGCTATGGAAGTGCCCTTTGCCTGGCCTGCTTCACACAGTGTTTTGGCTGTACAGTGGGAGCAGACCTGGACAGGAGTCTGGCCCATGTTAAGGCAGAAGGTGCAGCCGCCTCTATTCTGCAGAGTGAGTTGAATAGCAAGAGGCCCTTGGTAAATGCTTGGACCACCTTTACTGGGTTTCCTTACCAGGTCTGCCAGGTCCTAGCTATGGGGACATTAGAGAAGTTGCATAATTTCTCTGAACCTCATCCATAGAATGGAGATGATACCGACCCTTCAGTGCTTTTGTGAGAACTGAATTAGATAATGATAATGAAAATAATAATGACCATTTAGTAAGCATCAACTGTGGCAGGCTGTGTTCCAGGTACATTATTAACTCATTAAAACATATATAGGGGCTTCCCTGGTGGAGCAGTGGTTAAGAATCCACTTGCCAATGCAGGGGACACGGGTTCAAGCCCTGGTCTGGGAAGATCCCACATGCCGCGGAGCAGCTAAGCCCGTGTGCCACAACTACTGAGCCTATGCTCTAGAGCCTGCGAGCCACGACTTCTGAGCCCGCGTGCTGCAACTACTGAAGCCCGAGTGCCTAGAGCCCGTGCTCTGCAACAGCAGAAGCCACCGCAATGAGAAGCCCGCGCCCACCACAACTAGAGAAAGCCCACGTGCAGCAACGAAGGCTTAACGCAGCCAAAAATAAAATAAGTAAATAAGTAAATTTATTTTAAAAAACATATATAAAACATCAAAAATAGTGTTTAGTTCATGGTAGGTACTCAGTAAATATCAGATTCCTCCCCCCACCTCCTGCTGATCATTGCACTTCCTATAGTTTGTCCGTAGCTGATAGATTATTGCCTTAGCACTACCTTCCAAAAGACTTTATTTATTCCCACAAATCGACATAGAGAAAGAAAATAGTGAAGATTTCATTTAAGCCCAGGAAGAAGCCAGTGAGTAATTTCCAACATCATTTCATTAAGGAAGTACTTGGGGCTTAGAAATCAACTGTACTTTAACCAAATTATAGTTTAATACTGTTAGCCTTTGAACTTAATTTTTAGGTTCAGGGTCTTGGGCTTCTACAGAAATCAGACAGAACTGCTGCCTGTACTGACATTGTTCATGTGCTATTTTGATATTTAGTGCCCATCTTCAGAGCAGATAATCAGAATAAACACCTGAATGCAAGCTGTGTTTAAAATGGAATATGTAAGGTTGTCTAAGTGTTGGGATGAGTTATGTGTCCAACCTGAGTCTGACGGGTTTCTGATGGTACTGGGCCATAGCTTTGTCTGCAAATAAATGAAAGCTCCCTCCATCTGCAGCCCCAGTCTTCAGGAACACTGCTCGTCATAGCCTTTCTTTTTCTTTCTTTGTGCAGGTTTCAGGTAACTAGATCCTCTTTGACAATATAAAGCATGGATTAAAACTAGCTCCGTAGCAGTCCCAGGATTATAGGCTCAGGAGAATAAACCTTGGATTGGGTTCAGTTAAGTCTCATTGTAAAGAAATCAGCTATGGGAGAGGCATTTCTGAGCTTGGTTTCTGTTGATTCCTCGTTCCCCAAGATCAATTCTTAGGAGTGTCACAGTTCATTGTGCATACAGGACATGAGTGATTGTTCCTGAGAAGCATAATGAGTTGCTGGCAGCAGTGGTTACACTTGAAAACTGGCTGTGGTTCTGGCCCAGCCTTTATCCCTCATTAACAGAGCAAAACTCAAGGAAAGCAGGAGTCATAGTCACTGAAACACTCACCTGTGTACCTGTGTCCACACTGCCACCCAAGTCAGAGGTTAGCTTACCCCTGGAGACTAGCATAAAACTAGAGAATTTTAGAACATACTCCATGTCTGACCATCTTTCTTTCTTTCCTTAAAACCTCCTCCTCCCTCTGGATATAGATTGCCCAATCTCGAATGCTGCCTTAGAGGGTGCAGGGTAGAGGATAAGAGTAATATGCAACTATTGCCTTACTTCCACCTTTCATTTTCCAGCAACAGCTGCAGGCATATGTGGCCTGGGTGAACGCACAGCTGAAGAAGAGGCCAGCAGTGAAGCCTGTGCAGGACCTGCGACAGGATCTCCGGGATGGGGTGATCCTGGCGTATCTCATCGAGATTGTAGGTCAGTTGGCCCTGGACTCCAATGTTAACGTAAACCAGAACATGGCCTCTTTTATCCTCCATATGCCCTTCAGAGCAGATTGCTCCTTCTTTAAAATAAATGGAAATGGGACTTCCCTGGTGGTCCAGTGGTTAAGAGTCTGTGCTTCCACTGCACGAGCCACAGGTTCGATCCCTGGTTGGGGAACTAAGATCCCGCATACTGCGGCCAAAAATTTTTTTTAAATAAATGAATAAAATAAATGGAAATGGAAGTAGAGCAGCCTTAAGATACTCGCCCAAGGTTACTTTATTTATTTATCGTCAGTAGACACTGTGTTCCAGGTGCCGTGTTAAGCTTTGGGAATATGATGAGCAGTCTAGGCTCTCAAGAGTCTCCCAATCTATTTGGAAAGACTGGAAAGTGAAGCCACTTCCATTAATGTACTTCGTATTCTCATGGGGCAAGTACAGATAGGAGCACATGGGGGACACCCAACCCAGTCTTAGGGGTTGAGGGATGGCTTGCCAGAAGATTTGATGTCTAGACCGAGGCTGGAAAAGGAAGCGGTAGCCAGGCAAAAAGAAGGTGTGTTAGCAGCAAAAGGACCCCTCTATGGTATTCACTACCATGATGCTTCCCAAGAGACCTTGCTTTCTTGAAGCCCTGGAGTTGTTGCCGGTCATTCTTATTAGATGGTATCATAACCTTATTTCCGTAGCATTTGTCTGTAGCTCTGTTATTATTTCTCTCACCAAAAGGTAGTTATTTACTATCTATTTCTCCTGTATAGACTGAGCTCTTTAAGAGCAGGTACAGTATAATATTTTTTCTGTTTCTACAACCCCTAACCAAGTGCCAGACACATAGTAGGTACTCAAACGTTCATTGTCATGTAAGTCAGCTGACCTTGCTTAGAGTCTTTGAGGGATGTGGGTTTGCAAGTGGTATGTAAGAAGTCAGGTTTGCAACAGGCAGCCTGTCCATGAATACCTCATTCAGACAGCTCATGGATTCATTAGAGTATTCACTTATGGATATAATAACCATGGTAATAGTACTAGCAGCTGCTATGTATTAAACACTATCTCATTTAATTTCATTTGATCATCAACCTTTGAGAAACGTAATAGCCCCATTTTCAGGAAACAAACTTGAAAGAGAATTTATAAAAATAAGTAAATTCATTGAGTACTTTATATATTATATATATATGTATATGTATATATCAAGCATTGTGCTAAGCATGCTACTTTGATGGACTTATGATATAGATATGATGTAAGTACTCTTTCACCCATTTTATAGGACTTAGAAAGGTTAAGCAACTTTACAACGTCACATAACTGTAAGTGGCAAAGCAGAGATACAAACCTAGATCTGCTTTAATTCCAAAGCTCATTTTAAAATGAGCTCATTTAATTCTTCATTCATTTGACTAGATTATACTGGAAATATAATCAGTTAGAAAATACAGACAACACAAGAGGATATAAAGTCGAAAGCCATTTTTCCACCTCTGTCCCCCTGCCAGCTACCTGCTCTTTCTGGAGGCAACCAGTGTTAGCAGTTTCTTGCTTTTTTTTCCCCAGAGATATTCTATGCATATACAAGCAATATGAATATGTATTCTTGTTTACCCCAAACCCAGGTTCTTAAATGCTGCATTCTGTTGTGACTTGGCTATATAGAAAAATTCACAGAATTCACTGCCTTATTTCCCATTCTTTCTTTAGCCAGCCTTCACTGGGTTTTTGATCCCACTACTCCCCCGAAACTGCTCTCCTCAAGGCCACAACCTCTGCCTTGTCAAATCCAGTGGCCAGGCCTCAGTTCTCGCTGTATTCAACTTGGCAGAACCTGACACAGTGGATCTCTCCCTCCTCCTCCAAACACCTTCTCCCCTTGGACTCCAGGACCCTGTGGTTTCGAGTTTTCCTCCTTCCTCACTGGCCTCTCCTGTTAGCTTTGCTGGCTTTCTCCTCCTTCCTGACCTCTAAATGTCGAAGCTCTCCTTAGAGGCTTAGACCTTAGTCCTTATATATTCTCTATCCCTAAGTGAGCTCTTCCCAAATTTGTATCTTTAGCCCTAAGCTTTTCATTGAGTTCTAGACATGAATATCAACTTCCTGTTCAACATCTCTGCTTGGATGTGTAAAATGCAGCTCTCGGGAATTCCCTGGCTGTCCAGTGGTTGGGACTCGGTGCTTTCACTGATGAGGGCCTGGGTTCAATCTCTGGTTGGGCCAAAAGAAAAAACTGCAGCTCTCTTCATGTGTCATAATCAGAGTTTTTCCTTCTCCCCGCTGATCCCTCTATCCTCCGAGATTCTTCATTTAACACATCACAGTACCATTCACCCAGCTGTTAAAGCAGAACATTTAGAAGTTGTCTTTTATTATTCTCTTTTCCTCATATATCATATCCAGTCCTTCACATGTGCTGTGTGCTTTATATTAAAAATGTACCCAGGAGCTTTGCTCAGGTGTGGGTCTGGACCCTTGCGTAGTCTCAATGTGCAACTGATCCCAGGTTAAGATGGAGCAGGGAGCCAAGGGCCTGAGCCGGTGGCATGTGGCTCTGCACCAGTTCACAGAGGAGACTGAGAAGTCAATGTCCATCTTGGACGTGTCTTCATCTCCTGGAAGCAGTGGAGTGCACACCTCTTGGAACCATGGCCCATCAGGTTTTCAACATGTCCCTCAGTGCACAGAGCTGGAGAGGATCCCCTTGGTCTCTGCTGAGGCACCCAGGCAGAATGCCAGTGAAATGGGACCACAGTTCAGTATGTTGCTGCCTGACCACGGTGTGAGCCCCCAAGTGACTTTCAGTCCTTCCCAGATGATTTACTCAGGGAATGTCTCCTTCCCAGCCAGGAATGATGATTTTCCAGGGGCCCCAAGCAATGCCCTTAGGAGAGCCCAGTGTTCCAGGGGCCTCGACCTTTGGTGGGAATCTAAGAATGCCCCCCAATGGGCCGCCAGTCTCACCTGCCAGTGGAATCCCAATGATGTCCCACATCAGAATGCGAACAATGCCTTATTCTGGCTTCCCAACAGTAACTTCTAACAGAGACCCTTTAACACGTAAAACATTATTGTATACAACTGTGCCTTCCACTGAGGCCCAGGCAATGCTCCCCTCTTTGGCTCAGATGTTGCAGTCTAGAAACCCCACAACTTAGGGATGCCCCCAGCTGGATCCCATTATTGCTGGCTTTGGAATCCCAGGGCTCTTTTGTGAGCCAGCCAGTCTCCCAGGAAGACCCCTTCCTACCTAAGTAGTCTTTACCTGCTCCACGGAGAGCAGAGCAGTATTCCGGGGCCCAAGAAAGGGCTCCCAGGAGGAGATCCCCAGATTCAAGGCCTTAACCGCTGCAACTGAGAGAACTGGAAAAAGCTAAGGGCTCCCACCTCGTGAGTCACCAACGCAAACACACAGGTGAAAGGCCCTGTAAATGCATGTGGGAAACCTGTACTTGGTCCTTCTTCCGATCTGATGAACTTGGAAGACATACTCGGATACACGCCAAATACGGACCACATAAATGTGACCAGTGCAGCCGACAATTCATGAGATCTGACCATCTCAGGCAGCACCAAAGGGCTCATATGCGGATGCCAACATCCCCAGACCCACTGGCTGACAGTGGACGTATGGCTGGTTCTCCTGCTCCTGGTCTTTAGGTCAATCTACTCTTCCCCTCATTTTGACCTTTCTGCCCAGATCCTGCCTGCCTCTGACCAGCTAGTCTCTTTGGTAGGTGTAGGCTTTGATGAAGACAGAAAGATTATGAGGCAGTGTTGAAGCCCATGTGAGCTCTGGATCTAGTCAGAGCTCAAAAACTGTCTTGGATGTCCTTACATCTCTGGGGCCACCTACTTTTGTGCCAAGTTCAGCCACATGGGAAGATGGAGCAAAGTAGAGATTGGGAGCTTTATAAAAAGCTCTTTATCTTACATCATTCCCAGCTTGAAACCCTTTAGCGACTCTCCTTTGCCTGCTGCATAAAATCCAACTTCCTTATCTTGGTCTTTGACAGTTTCCAGAGCCAGTTTCCAGAGCCAAGACTATGTTCAAATCCTGAGTTTACCACTTACTAGCTATGTGACCTTGGGAAAGGTCTTTGATCATTATGCCAGGTTCCCTCTTCTGGTAAAAGAAAAACACTGTTGGACTGTCATGAACACATCTTATGTACAAAACCAGATTCTCTCCGGCACTCACCAGCCTCATACCCAGAGTTTGTCTCCTCCCATCATTTCCAGACTTGGATGGAATGACCCCACAGGACATGGGATCTGGTATCTCAAGTAGCCACTAGCAACCCAGGAATGTGGAAGAGTTAGTGCTCCTGGGATAACATTTGACTAATGGGAGATGGGAGAAATCCAGGTGATAAATTCCCCCTTCTTCCCTCCCTTCCCTGAACTGGTGCAAGATACCATTTCTCCCACTGGGGAGACCTCCCAAGTAGCCAGTGGATACAGCTTTTGTGCCTCTTCGAGGCTTGTCATGAAGCAGACTCAACCCGCTATCACCTGGCATTACCTCCTGTTCTTCCTTGTGTTGAGTTCCTTTTCTTACTCTCAGTGCCCTGTAATCACCCATATAAACATTGGTACTTTAAAAAATTAATTAATTAATTAAAAATTAAAAAAAAATGTACCCAGTATCTGACTTCTCACCTCTCAGCTTCTTCCCAAACCATCATTGTCTCTTGCTTGATTGTTTTCACTTCCCTTTTAACTAATCTCCCTATTTCCTCTTCACATAATCTATGTCCACACAGAGTCAACTTTTAAAAACATAAATCAGATCATGTAACTCCCTTACCTCAAACCCTCTGTTGGCTGTCCATTACACATAGAATAAAATTCAAGGTCTTTGCTCTTTTCCTCTGGTCCCTAAAGCTCCACATGGCCTGGCCTTGCTTACTTCTCCACCTTACCCTAGGACTCGACTCCTTGCTCTCTCCACTCCAGCCCTATGGTCTTGTTGCTCTTCCTCAGATAAGCTGAGCTCATTCCCACCTTGGGGCTGGGATCTGTGCATTCTCAGCCTGGAATGCTTCCTCTGCAAATCTTAACCTCTCTTACTTTATTCAAGCCTCTGCCCAAATGTGTTATCAGAGAGACCGTGATCACTCTTCTTTGTCTTTCCTCATAGTACTTATCACTACCTGAAATTATGTGAAGATTTATTTGTTACCTTGGTCATCTGTCATCCCTACAGATATAACCTCTATGATGGAAGAAAAGACGAAGTCCTGGTCATTGCTGTTTCTCTGGTGCTTAGAATAGGGCCTTGGCACACGGTGAATATTTGTTGAATGAATATTCATGAATATTTGTTGAATGAATATTCATGAATATTTGTTGAATGAAAAAATGTATGCACAGCAACTTCACAGGCCCCTGGGAATAAATTTGAAAATTTGGAGGCCCTGCAAAAGACTTTCATTTTCCTATTCCCCATCCAAATTACAAACACCAAGGCCTAACTCACTTGCATATTTATAGATAATCTTAGTGTTTACATCAAATATTCTCTTTCTCTGTGTCTGGCTACTATGAAACTGTGATAGTACTGCTCCCCATAACTTCAAATATTTTCTTTATCCTAACAGCAGGAGAAAAGCTGAGTGGTGTACAGCTGAGTCCCAGTAACCAGCAGGAGATGAAAAATAATGTGGAGAAAGTGTTACAGTTTGTAGCCTCCAAAAAGATTCGTATGCACCAGACTTCAGCTAAAGGTCAGTGCTTCATCCTGTCCGTGGTGGGTGAGTACACTCATCTTTACCTGGTGATTGTCACCCTCAGAAGAACTATCTGTTATGTAGCTGAGGGTTCCGAGTAGACTCGGGTAGGGTTAGGCCCACGACCTCGTATCATTTTTCCATAAAGAAAGTTATCCTCTTGGGATAGAGCGATTATCAAAATCCAAGTGCTTTGGAAACCTGGGTGAAGATAGAAGTTCTCTATTCATTTTAACTGAGTAAAGTTTTGCTTGAGTGTGTGTAGGAAGATTAACAGAAAAGAAATTATAAAATTGTGAAATGAATTTTAGAATGTCTTGTTTAAGCTATCAAAAATGAAGATAGATTATGTTTTTTGAGTTTTTTGAGCCACATGGCCAGAAGAGGACACCTCTCAATCCAGTTTGAGCCCAGGCTTCAGGGAAGAAATGGTGTAGGTGTCCTCAGAAGGCACAGGCTCCCAGGTCCTCTCACTGCTTCTGTAGAACTGATTATAATCTGGTTCTGTTTCAGATTCAGTTTCTGGGCCTGATTGCCTGTGGCTCTAATGAGAATGGGGGGCAGGAGGGAGCCCTCCTTTCGTGTGTTATTAGTGTTCTCTGTGTTGGGCTCATTCATGCGGGGCAGATACTGACCATTGAGAGTGCCTGTAGAAGGTATCAATCAATCCTTTTGGAAGCCTTGCATATTTAAAAGGCTATGAAACTAAAACATAGAATTTTACCTATTTCCTTATGTTAACCAGACCTATTATATTTTTTTCTGCCTGCATTTCTCTTTTTTTTCTAGGACAAAATTTAGAATGCCATAATATCTCAGATCTGGTCCCCATGAGGAGTGGGCTTGGGGATCTGGCCCATTAAAGTTGGCTATTTTGAGGGAACACTGCCGTTCAGGACATCATTGTCATTTACCTGGAGAAGTGCAACAGCTTCCTAATTAGTCCCACTGCATCCATTTCTGTCCCCCTCCCCTCTGCTCTCCACACTGCAGCCAGAATGATCTTTCTAAGAGTGTATATGCTCATGCCATTCCTCTGCATCTGAGGGCCCTTAGGAGAAAATCCAGAGTCCTTCCTCTGGCTCACCATGCCCTTTCTGACCTCACCTCCTGTTCATCCTCCTCCATCTTTCACCCTCTCCCCCTGAACTCTGAGCTCTGGCTATGCTGAGCTGCTTTCTGTTCCTCTTCCACAGCGTGTGCCATAGAAATATAACGTGAGTCTCATACATGACTTGAATGTGTCTAATAGCCATGGTTAAAAAAAAAAGAAAACGAAATGGTTGAAAATAATTTTAATAATATATTTTACTTAACCCAACATATCCAAAATATTATCAGCTCAACATATGATCAATGTAAAAAACTATTACTGAGACATTTTACATTCTATTTTTTGTACTAAGTCTCATGAGATTTTTCATTCTGTTTCTGTGTGTGTGCTAGGATAGTACTAGCATGTTTCAGTTCAGACTACAGCTACCTTTTAAGTGCTCAATAGCCACATGTGGCTAGTGGCTCCCATACTGGAGGGCGCAGTTCGGGTGTGTCGTGCTGTCTCACCTCTAGACCTTCATGCCTGCTCTTCCCTCTTCTTGGAATACTCTTTTCCTTCCCTTCCCTCATCTGATAAACCATTATTGGTCAGTCACGTCTCAGTTTAGAACTCACTTCCTCAGGGACTCCCTCCCAGAGCCCTCTAGACCAGACAAGATGCTTCTTCTCTGAGCTCCCAGAGAATCCTGTACTTCTCCTCTCATACGTTATTGTACGTTATTGTAATTGCTTTCAAATACTCTGTCTCCCTGTTGAACACAGAGAGCTTGATTGCCTTGCTTACCTGCTCACTAGCAAATACGTAGTAACTGAATGAGTCCTCAGCTCTCTGCCTCTCTCTTAGGACCTCTCGGTCTGTTCCAATCCTCAGATATCGTGGAAGGCAACCTGAAGTCTATCATGAGGCTGGTCCTGGCCTTGGCAGCTCATTTCAAACCGGGCTCCAGCAGGACAGTGAACCAAGGACAGGACGCCAGAGCCCCTCTGCAGAGTCACCAGCCACACTGTGCCACTGCTGTGGCCCAGGGAGCAGCTGCCGCCCTAGCTGATGTGTGTCACGACATGTCACGGTCAGGGCGGGATATCTTTCGATACAGACAGAGGTAAGGATGGAAATCTGGGGATGGGAACTCAACCCACTCTGATATTTCTTCCCTTAAATGATATAGTGCAGTAAAGGGAAATACCACGTAAACAGCCCACATTACAGAAAAGAGCATGGAGTGGAGGTTGGAGAGGGTGCTCCAAAAGAGAAAAAAGGCCCTTTCTTTTAGAGATGTTTATTTTGCCCTTAGTAGAAAGTAAAGGAATCGTATATGTAATTTTTTGCTTTGGTGTGCAGAGTTTTGTTTTATTTTATTTTTTTAAATATTCATGTATTTATTTATTTGGCTGCATCTGGTCTTAGTTGCGGCATGCGGGATCTTTTAGTTGTGGCACGCGGACTCTTGGTCGCAGCCCGCAGGCTTCTCTCTAGTTGTGGCATGCAGGCTCTAGAGTGCATGGACTTAGTTGCCTCGCGGCATGTGTGATCTTAGTTCCCTGACCAGGGATCGAACCCATGTCCTCTGCCTTGGAAGGCGGATTCTTAACCACTGGACCACCAGGGAAGTCCCCAGAGTTTCAAATATATGCCTTTGGCACAGTGTGTTTTCTGCACTGGGAGATATATGTGGCAGCAACATCCTGATTCATCCCTGAGTCTCCCCCTGCTGTGTATCCTAAAGGGCGGGCTGCCCTAAAGAGTCATAGCAGGAAACCCTTTGTGGGTTGTGCGTCTGCTGAGAGGGAACACGACTCTGAGGTGTTGCAGAGATTGGTGAAATTACTGTTTTTTTGTATCCACCTTTCTTACTAGGTTTCAAGTGTCCTTAAGGCAGGGGCTTTGCCTTATTCATCGTTTTTTCCCATAGTGCTCCCAAAGTGGTGTCTATCAGTACTTGTTGGGTTGACCTTCTCCTTTGCTGGTGCCCTCTGCCTTTAGGAACAGCAGCGTGGATGAGGAGATTGGGAATCCATGCTGGAGCGTGCGAGCCCTGGTGCAGCAGTATGAAGGGCAGCAAAGGTCCCCATCCGAGTCCAGCTGCTCCAGGTAACTGTGGCCTCAGATTCTTCACCACTACAGTCCTCCCTAAGAGCTGAACTGTGGGGATTCTCAGGGTTGTCAGCTTCAGGTAGTAATGCAACAGGCAATAAGGCACTGAAGCCCTTTCTCTTTCCCTCAGTTTATGTTTGGCTTTAAAGGGGTAGCCCTCAGCACGGTCTGTGGTTTTGTGCTGACAGGAGGGTAGGCTGGGATGCTTGTGAATTTCCTACATACCAGTGCCAGTGCTTCGCTGTGTCCACGTGGGGGCATGACTGGGACCTGCTAGGGCCCAGCCCCATGGTTCTGATATTTGCATATCAGCTGCCAAGTGTTTGTGAGAGCCAGTTCCATTGCACTGCCTTTGTGCCTGAGTCTGACTCTTAAGTTATGGCCTGAGAAGGCTGTATAAAGCTCATAGCAAGAGAAAATGAGCAGAGTTGTCTTAGAGCCTTTAGAATGTTCCCACCTTTCATTTACAGGGCTGGGAATTGTGGCCCATTAGTACATTTGAGTGGGCTAACAATGTGTGTGACTCTAGCTGAAAAATGTTGTCTATATCCCTTAGAGCCAAATGCAGAGACCAAAACAGGACACAGTGCTCTAATAAAAGCCTGATCAATGCCAAGTATAGTGGCAGAAAAAGATTATTTTCCTGGCTCATGTAAATCATGCTCCTATAAACACATCCCCAGGTCATGTTAGCTTATTTACTAACTTCATTTCATTGCTGAATCATATTTAATTTATGCTCTTATAACCTTTTCTCTCTTACCTCAACCCAGGATTAGTCTGTTCTAGTTAAGCCTAATTGTTCTTTGTCTAATATGTATGTATTTTATGTGTTTGTTTCCTTCCTCCTATTTCTTTTCCTAATAAAATTCCATCTTAGTTTGATGGACCATTTTCTAACTTGCTGAGGTCGCATGGAATTCTTTCCATCATTTTAATATACTGGTAACCTTGCTCGACTTTAATTTTCACATTTAATAGTTGTGTTTTTTTATTTTTAAAATTCACATGACATTAAATTAGCCATTATCATTTTACAGTGTACAATTCAGTGGTACGTAGTACCTTCATTAATATTGTGCAACCATCACTTCTATCCAGTCCAAAGAGATTTTCATCACCCCAAAAGGAAACCTTGTACCCATTAAGCAATAGATGTGGTTTTACAGAGAATCTAAACCATTCCTTCCTTGCTTGCTGCTTGGACTATCACTTGGTACAGAATCAAAGGATATTTCATTGTATAATGAGATCTGTTGCTTCCTGCATGGCTTCAGGCCTTTTACTTTTCTGTGCCTGATAGTGCTTGCCAGAGTTAGAGAAAAAAAGAGTCTGGATTTTTTCCTGAGAGCACCTGCTTTCCTCCTGTCTGGCAGAACTCAGACTGGGAGCAGGGGTATGAGACCGTGTGAATTAGGGGCCATTGGAAATCAGGCTCCAGTGGGTCGACAGTGACAGTTTTCTAGGCGAGGGGTCAGAGAATAGTTTGCTTTCCTCTTTCTCTCCTTCCTGATTTGGTCGTTTTCTTCTAAGCCAACCTCTCACTCACCTCTTTGGGATGCTCAGGCAGCACGCTGGAACCCAGAAGGCTCTGGCACATTCTGCCCCCTCCCCCCCCCTCCGCCACCCCCCCACTCAGGGGGAGTCCACCTAATGTCTAAGTGATCCATGAAGGCCAGGAGGTCCCTGGTATGTGATTCAGAACGGGGAGTGGTTCAGAAGGTAGGAAAGACAGGCTCTTATGTCCCATCCCCTCCCCCTGCTCCTTGAGAGACATCCTGGCAAAGCCCTGCCCGACTGCCCGCCTGTTGCTTCGTAGACCTGTAGACCTCGGGCCAGCCTCTCACCATATCCAAGCAAAACGATCCTTAGCTGGGAAAAAAGAACACATGAAACGCCCGAGGGGGGGGTGCGGGAGACAGACGTTCGGCGGGTTTCCGGGGGAGCCCCCTCCCACAAGGAGCCGCGTTAGACCCACCCCGACCTCCGTGCCCACGAAGGCAGGGTTCAGAGAGGAGAAGGCACCGCTATCAGTTCTGGGCTTCTCCAGACCGGGACCACAGACCCCTCCCTCTGCCGACCGGCGGCCTCTCCGGTGCCTCGCCAGGGGCTCCCGCTGGGCCCCGCAGCCCCGCCCCGCTCTGCCTCGAGCTCAGTCGGCAGGCCGAGCGCCAGCCTGGGTCCGAGCCCGGCGCTGCCTGCCCGCAAGTGACAGCCTGGGAAGCGGGGGAGGGCGTTGGGAGGGTGGGACCGGGGAGGCGGTGCGGAGCTGGGATCGCCGCCTGCCGCCCGACCGGGACTCGACCGCGCAGCCGGAGCTGCGGGCAGCCTTTACTCCGGTGGGTCGGAGATGGGTTGAAATGCCTGCGTCCGGGGGCACGCCCGGGGCCGCGCGGCCGCGGAGACCACGATGCTGCTGCCGGGGACCCGCAGCCTGCGAGGGGAGGCGGCTTCCGCCGAGGCTGGGCTGCTGCAGTGTCTGAGCTGCCGGGACAGCGCGCCTCAGAACCGGGAGCATCCCCGTCCCTGGGGCCGAGACGCCTGCTTCTCTGTCCTCCCTCCTCCCTCTCGGGACCGGGGCGAGCGGCTCTGGTAGTTGGCCTGCCCGTGGAGTCGTTCTTCGGGCCTCAGCGCGGGGAGACATGCCCGAATTGGGGAGCGCTGTGACTTTCAGCCTCCCACTTCACCCCGGGAAGCCGACTTGCTGAAGCCGGAGCCACGAGGGGGACCATGGGAGGGACGCAAGTCAAATGGTGAGGTGAAGCCACTTTGGCTTTGGAGGTGGGGGGCATGGGTGGCAGCAGGGCCAGGACTGGAGGATGCTGTTAGCCAGAGACAGGCGGGGATCGGTGGGGGCGCTATATTGGGGAGAACAGGCTGCTGGCCTGGGATTATCACTGTAAAATACAGTGGATTTAGGAAGCTGCAACCAGCGTAGGGGAAGGAGTGGACCTTGACCCTGTCTGGTCTCTACAGAAGGAGGCACTTCAGGACGGAACAGAACTCATATTGCCCAGCACCCGTTTGTTTTTTTTTTTAAAATTGATTTGACTCTAATTTGAAGGTAGCTTTTCTGGGAGATTGTTTGTCTGATAAGATTGGAGAGATGTTAGACCTGTGGGAATTAATATTGTAATCACTTGTTCCTTGACAGGATTATGATGGCAAGTAGGAAATTACTTGTTTATAAAATAGGGTTTTAAAGCTAATCAGGGAGAGCCTAAATCATATAATTAATTAGCATTAAAATACTTTTGTCTGACTTGAGGCAGAGGATTTAGTGTACCATCCTCATCCGTGAGGTTCGTCTTGGGGAGGCGGCAAGATGCCTGCTCTGACATGTGCCTCAGGATTTTTCTTCCTCAGATCCTTTACCTTTTGACTTGGCCAGTTAGTTTCATGGTTTTACCTCTCCGTGGCCTCACACACTGGCAGCCCCAATTCAAGAAAGAGAAATGTTGTTTTCCTTTGGCTGCTCTGCCACTCCCCCAGTGGGGTTGGATATGCAGACATCCGCCTCTTTCTGCCCTTATATGGGAGACAGCTCACTTAGGGGGGAGCCAGTGGAGCTGAGCATGCGTCTCTGCTTTTAGGAAAGCATTTTTCCGCCTGCATCCTAGGTTCACACCACCCCACCCCCGCCCCCCTTCATCTCACACATACCCACATTTAGTGGTCCAGCTAAATGCAGGCAAGGGAACATGTCAGCCATAACACCTTGTCAGCTGAGAAAGTGTTGTCTTATCATTTCTCAAAGAGGAGCAGCTGGTGCAGACCTCTTTCTGCACTTGGACCCCCATTTCTATAAGAAGGCGGATGCTGAGGCCTGAAGTGTCATAAATCTGTTCTTCTTATGAATGACATAGTACCCTTAGACTAATGCTTTTCCAGCAGCTAATGCATGTTGGCCTGGAAGTCAGATTGCCTAAGTGGTGAAAGATGGATAAGAGAGTTCTGTAAAGCAATTACCTTTTCTAAATACCACTTCTTGCCTCTCTCCACCCATCTTGCCTGTTTGGGTTGTAGATCTATAGATGTGATTAAGTGACTTTTTTTAATTCGAAGAAGCAAAAAACTAATTTTTTTTCTGTGGTTCTAATAAGGATGAGGGTGTGTTACTGGTTGAGGTCATTCCCACCAAAGCCCAAAACTCTGGACAACGAGGAGGTTGAGACACTAGTCCTCAGGCTGCTTCAGAGATTTTTGAAATCTCTTGCTAACTCCACTGTGCTTGGCTCTTGTTTTTAGTGGTTTCTAGGAAGATGAAATGTTAACTCCTGATCGTGGCTGGGAGGATTAGCCTGGGAGACTTCAGGGGCACATTAAGTGGGTCAATGAATCCAAGACACTTTCACTGTTGTCTGGGTGATAGATTTGGAAAGAATTCCTGAGAGGGGGCTGGGTCTGCAGACCCCACAACCCCTGAGATTGTTTCAGTGCTGATGTTCTCAAGGTGTGGTGCAAAGAAAGATGGCTCTTCAGATGGAAGCATCAGCCACATTCCCATCGTGTCCTGTAGATTTGCTTCTGGAGATTTAAAATTCTGCTTCCCTAAAAATGCAAACAGTTCCTTCCAAGGCTAGTAGTTATACTAGAATTTAAGAATTGTTGCAAGGTTTCTGATGACAATGTGAAAATAGTGTGGCAGAGATATGAATAACTCCTTGATGGCAGTAAATCAAGTAAACCTTTACCATCCCCTAGCAGGTCTTTTCCCCTTTTGACGTATTATCCTTTTCTGTATCATGTCCTAGCTTTGTTGATATGTCACTGCTCCTTTGCCCAGCCTGGCACTGTCCACACTCCAGCAGTTTCTCCCCTCTGAGGCACCCTCCACACCATCCCCTACTTTGGGATCAGCCTAGAGCTGATCTGCCGTGATTACTCTGCTGGTATTGCATGTGTCAGTGAAAGATCAACGTATTGGAAACAGATTTTCCTTCCAGCTCCCAAAGCTACTAAAACACATACTACATCAAGCCCCTGAACTTGGGCCCAGGGATGATGGTGGAGGAGGTGGTGGTTAAGTAAAAAACAAAAACAAAAACAAAAAGCCAAACCAAACAAAACTTAGAGTTCTTTAAAATGCTAGATTATCCATCCTTCTGGTAAATCTCTTCTCAGTGAGCTAGGCTTAAAGGCAGCCTTGTTGTGGAAAAGACTTCCTGGGACTGGGTCATTCATTCATTCAATATTCATTTCATTCATTTAACAAGCTCATCATTCATTCAACAAACATTTGTTCTTGCTGTGGGCCAGGCACCGTGTCAGGCAGTAGGAGTTGGATGAATAAGAACACGTTTCTGCGAAATTGAGCTGTTTGTAATGAGATGGATAGACCTAGAGTCTGTCATACAGAGTGAAGTAAGCCAGAAAGAAAAAGACAAATACCGTATGCTAACACATATATATGGAATTTAAGAAAAAAAAAAGGTCATGAAGAACCTAGTGGTAAGACAGGAATAAAGACGCAGACCTACTGGAGAACGGACTTGAGGATATGGGGAGGGGGAAGGGTGAGCTTTGACAGGGCGAGAGAGAGTCAA